AAAAAAACAAAGTTCTGAATAAAAAAAAAAAAAAAAATTGAAAAAAACTTAACAAGTTTTACTTTCACCTGGTTCAATATGAATATCAATATCGAGTAAACTAACAGGATTAATAAAAACAGGTAACTTTTTTCCTAACTTTTTATTTTGTTCATTATGATTATTACCAAAAATCCAATTAATCCAACCTGGTTTATTTTGTCCTTCTTCTGATGTTTCTAATTTTAATTCTCCACCACCATGTAAATTTGATTTACTTAAATTTTCAAATTGTTTTATGTTTATTAATCTTTCATCTAATTCAAATTTTCCTTCAAATTGACAATATGCCCAATTTATTAAACTTTTGGGTAAGGTAAAATTGGTTCTATGAGATGGTGCACTTTGTAATGATACTTTACGTATTGGTGGTATTGTTACCCATTGATTTCCGCTTTGATTATTTCGACCATATGTTGGTCCTGCTGATAATTGTTGACGATTCATTTGAGTTGGTAAAATTCTTGTTTGTGAATCATCTTGATGATCTTCCTCTTCGATGGATAGTGAGACTAGTCATTTTGGGAGAAATGGGAATAGGAGTTTAAGTCAGTTTTTTTTCTTTTTCTTTTTTCCTTTATTTTTTTGATTTGATAAAAATAAAGTTTAATTCACGTTGAGTTCCTAATGGACCTGGTAAATGTGATGCTGATCGAATCGGTTGATCATAAGTTGAAAATTGATTTAATGAATAAGATCTTATGTGATGATGTTTCTTATGTAGTTCAGGTGAGTTTGAGTTTGAATTTAGACCTATTAGACCTTTACGTTCAGGTAAAGTTGATGATGAGAATTGATTTAAATAATTTCTTGACCTGTTTGAATAAAATACAGATTGACTTGGAGTAGAATCGCATGAAGAAGTTGAAGAGAAAGCTGAAGTTGATGAATTGGGAGTGATGATATTGGGGAAAAAGATTGAAGAAGTTGATCTAGAGTGAGTTCGATGAAATGGATTTAAATTTAAATGATTAGGTTGATGAACATTTTTCAATTCGATGGTACATTTAAATCTTTCACCTGCAAAATAAGCTGATTGATTAGGTCGAACGGTAATTAAAATGGGTGATGAGCTTTGAGCCATCTTGATTTGGATGGTGACTGGGTAAGAATGAGTCGAGCATTAAACTCATCTCTATCTTTTAAAAACATGATGATACCCTTCTACACACATAACAGTACAAAACAGAAAAACATTTTCATCTCATAAAAGCAAATAAATAAATAAACACAAAAACTTATACTATGACTAATTACATATACCCTCATATAACAAGAGTCAATGTAATACACACTTATCTACCTAAAGGAAATTTGCTCCAAAAGAATGTAACCTTCTTTCTGTTACCAAGCTACACAATGGTAACCTTCTATACATGAAAAGACCATCCTCGGAAAAAGGGCTTTCCCCTTCTGGACTAGGCCTTGACCAATAAAGCCAGAACCTGGAGGAAACCAACAGTTAAGAGGCTTAGGTTTCAAACCCTTAGTTACTTACTAGTTCCTATGGAACAGAACACCAAATTCAACTAAAGACCCTCATCTAATAAAGTATAAATAAAGACCCATCTCAGAGCCATGAGAAGAGGATTCACTTGAATCTTACAGACCCACTTTTCAAGATCCTTTTCTTTGAAAACCTCTTCTTAACTACAAACCTTTATTCTATATTTTTTGAATAACAAGCTTTCTACTTAGACTTGTATATTCTTGTCAAAGCACCCTCTTATTATCTTCTCCCACTCTGCTCCTCTTCTCACCCTTCACTTCAATACTGGAGTAGACCTCCACCTAGACCTCTATTCCTAGAACATTGGGATAAGTCAAGCACCAACAACTTCCCTCTAAGATCCTAGTCTGTGAGCCACTTGCTTCTGTCTGGCAAGTGAACTCACTACTGGTCTGAGAAAAGGTGTGGGCACAAAGGCCAAACGTTGGAAATGGGTTCCTTTAATGCTCAAATGCCTCAGGAACCTCTTCTGATAGCAAGATGAGTACTGGTCCTATCTAGGGAAAGAACTAGATGTTCACAGGATCAGCAGAGCTTCACACAGATTCCTTTATATCCTGTGCTGTCTAGAAGCTGGCACACTCAGCTTTTATCCTCTACCACCTTGCTACACTCATGAGAACCCCTCAGCAAGAGTGTAGCAGAGGAGGTCCAGGAGGAAAGGTGCTAGTGATGAACCTTGGATGAACAATGAAATAAGATAACTGATGAAGACCAGTAAGAAAACTAGACTATTTCTTTTAATAGAGAAGAAATCACCAAGGTTAATTGTATATTAACCAGTGACTGAGAATCTCAGAAGAAGAAAGTCCAGAATATCCTAGAGAGGTATTCAGACTGTTGAGTTTTATTTTATTGATGATTCAGAAAGGGGAAAGTGTCCAGGGAGGTCTGGTCCTCCTTTTATATTCTGAACCTTCACTCTTCCTTCTCTATGAGCATATTTACACAGTAGAAGGTAAACCTAACTTTGTATGTGTAAATCTCTTGGTGATAATGTGTTATTACCTTCACATTTTATGGCTATGGTTTACAACAGGTTATATCATGTATAGCTCCTGAAACTGAGCTATGAGTTGTTTACACTTATATTTACAATACCTTTGCAGTCCCATGGTACTTGCTGAGTACTCAGGGGCTGACATAGTCTATGAAAAAACCCACTAAGAAGGTTCAGACTCCACTCTTTTAACTAAAGCACCAACAACTTAGTTAAACTCACAGGCAAGACCAAAAACAAGTCTCCTGTTTGCTTAGATCTACTGGTTAGACTAGGCCTTGAACCTCTAAGAAGTTCTCATAAGTCAATTTTCTGCCTTGTGACTTATCAAGGTGTGATTAACTACCATTTAGAATTCAGTCTTCTATCTCAAAATCAAGAAGAAGCTGGCATGGGAGGCTTTTGTCTGTTCTTTGCAACAGCAGTATGACTGCAAAAGGGGTATTGAGGTCAGTGGCATAAGATTATTCCTGGTAAAGTGTGCAGTTGGTGAGACTCCTAAGGGAGGTGTGCCAATGCCCAGTCTTTAACTTTTTAAAGGCCATGTGGAAGTTTTGTGTAGTAGTCACCCTGTCCATATCAAGGTGACTTGTCAACAAGAGCAGACAAAGAACTTTTTTAGTTCTCTGATTGTTCTCATTTTTCACCCAGAGCCAGCACATGAGCCTTCCCTTTATGCAAAGTAACTTCCTTTTCTTTTCACTCAATGCACCATGTGCTGAAAGGTGTGTACTGTATGCCTGTGTATCACTGCACAGTTCACAATCATACTGATGTTCATGAGCTGACATCATGATGAACATGGATCAGTGACTTGTATTGAATGGACATGAGTAACAAGGGTGGGCTTGAGCCCTTGGGCCACCACCCCCCAGACACTAAGGCACTGGATTTGAGAGGGATTCTGAGGTGATTTCAAACATGACACTGTGTGCTCTCATTGACAAGTCACCTTTATATGGACAGGGTGGAAGGTGGTGGAGAAGGCAGGGTGATTGATACTTTTGTTCTCAAGAACAGTTGAATAAAAGAAGTTATAGTGAGAAATGTGAGGGAGAAAAAAAAGCAGAAGATGAGGAGGTGACATGAGGTGGGATCCAATGATGTTTGCCAAACTACAGTACTGTAGTAGCTGATTCCTTTTCAGCCCTTGAGTACCTGGAAAGTACCATGGGACTACAGAATTACAGTCCACACCAGAACCTACACCTCCAAGCTCAGTTTCAAAAGCTGTAAATACATGTACAAAGCCATATGATGGCCTTACATAGGTATCATTTACAAGAAAGATTAGTGTAACACAACTTGAGGAAAGTTGTAATAAATGATATCAAGAGACATCACTTATCATAAGACAAATCAACAGGGGTTGGGTTAATCCCCTGTTATAAAGAAATGCCTGTAGGGAAGGAAGTTTGGAAACTCAAGGTATAAAAGGAGGTCCAGAGCCTTCCTTGCCCAAAAAGAAAAACCAACTATTACCACACACCAACATAAAAACTGCCAAGAAAATTGCATCACATAGAGGCATGCTATGTCACATAGCAGGCCAAGATGTGATGCAATAGGTCTATTTTCCAAGGTAGGGACCTTAAAAAATGGTCCATAGTATCACATGAAGACATGCTGTGTTACATAGCAAACTTCCATGCAATGAAAATATATTGGCAGTGAAAATTTAAAGACACCAAGAAAGTGCTCTTAGAAAAAGCTTTCTTATTATAAAAGAATAGATAAAAATTCTTTCACCTTATTCAGGGTGTGGTGAATACTCTATTGTTGAGAAAAGCTTAGGCTCTTCTATCTTTTTACTTTTGTTCTGTCTTAGTTCCAAGGTCCACACTACCTTACCCTTGACAGACAGCAGGGAGTTTTGGTTATGCACCACAAACTCTGCTTGACTCTACACCAAGAAGAAATCTCACCTGATCAATCAAGAAAGGGAATGACTGATGAGGGAAATTTCTTCAGGGTGTGGAGTGTCTGCCAGTATATTTACATGTGATGAGAAACTAGGTTTGGAACAGTGAGATACAAGGAGTTTTTGACATGTAATGTGACTATGGTGTACAAGGGAAATTTTTAGCAGAGACTTAAACAACTTAACAACCCTCATTGCCCCTCTTTCCTCTTATCTTTTGGATTCTTGAGAGGGACTTAAGGAAGAGGAGTGAAAGTGTCTTAGTACTAGCTGAGTGAAGCCCTAAGTTAGGATTCATCCTCCTCACTGTGTGTCAGAACAGCTGATTCTCTTGCTCACCCAATGGACTCACAGTGCCAATTCACCTCCAGTACTGCCATACCTGGAGTAGTTGGGGAAGAAACCCTCTTTTCTCTAAATAAACCATTTAAACTTCCAGTAAGGGTTCAGCCAACAGGAGTTTCATCCTTCAACACCTCAAGTCAGTCCTGATACATCTGCACAATGTAACACTATTACATCAGCTCCTTGCCTAGTGTCAGTTGGTAGAGCATTTGACTCTTATGAGTTTCATTGCTTCCAGCAATGTCCATCAATTTGTCGTGGGTTCGAGCCCCACGTTGGGCGCCCTTCTTCTTTTTCCCCACCCAAGGCCACCGCAAAGAATCTAGGACCTGCATGGCTCTTAAACATCCTACTTACCTTTTGTGTGTGTGAACGTAAAACAATCCTTCCAATCTCCATCCTCAAAAAAATTGAGTCGCAGACTGTAGCAAGCCCTTTTGAGTACTACGACGACATGCTCACCAAAGTTTCTTTTGATTTATGGCACCTCACATCTCCTAGAAACAACATAGTAATTAAAAAAGATCTAAATATTAAAGTTTGTGAAAAGACTTTCAATTTTTTTTATTTTTTATTTTTTATTTTTGTGAATTTCATCTGTAAAAAATCATTCAAAAAATTCCTTCATGAAAAGATATAAGAGACATATATTTATACATTACAACCTGCATGTATTTGTCGTACTTATTTTCGAGTAGTCAATAAGATCCAGAAGAGCGTGGGTTGGAGTTAATAGATTGAATACAAATTAAGTAGCAATACAAGAAGCAATACTTAGTGTTCATCATTAGATATAGTCCTTGGAATGTGTTCGAAAGTAGAAAAACACTCCTGTGTTTTTTGTAAATGAGGTGAAGATATAGAAAAAAATTCATAAAACTGTGCAAATGAAGCAATTAAAGAGTGATGAAAAGATCGAGGGTAGAGGAGAAGGGGAACAACAGAAAATCTTAGATAAAAGTTCCAGATCGGGTGTGACGCGTCATCATTTCTAAAGACGCGTTCGGGCACCCATCATCAGCTGGAACGAGATGACCGCAACCCTACACAGGGAAGACAATCAGTCGGGAGTGAGGCAAAGTGGTTGGGTATGAGTGAAAAGGAGGTTTGAAAGATAATTACCAAGAGCACTACTCGGGTCAGGTTCCCAGCCTCCGTTACATAGCCGAACAACTCTCCTTGAGTCGACTTCCAAAGCTGTCTTGGAGCAGCCTCGAATGCGGCTCGGCCTTCCCATTCTAATGCCGAGAGCCTATACGTTAGAAACAAGACGGATTCAGCATGTGGGCGGGGACTCTAAAATGGGCTTAGCCGGGCTGAGGTAACTAACCAAGCTGTATTTGACACAACACCGTCTCGGAGATCCATATTGCCTTGGTATAACAAGACCTTATAACGTTTGAAGAGATCTGGAAACAGATCCTTAGTGGACTATGAACAACCAAGACAGGTTTACCTCAGTAAAAGATTAATGTAAGTTTAGGCAAGAAAAAAAAAAGCATACCTGCATTATGTCATCCATAAAAATATCAAACATCCCATCATCTCTTCCAAATCTATACTTATCTGGCACGTGTAGGGCTTTCTTAGTTTCCTTGCACCTCAGGAAATGGTTCCTGATTAAACCTCATTATCTGTCAGCCTATCAAAACTACACTTGACAAATTGAATAACGCAGGGCAAGTGCTCACATCGGCGTCTCGTCCCGATGACTATTCTTCATACGAACATCGAACCAGTCCACGTCACCTGTGTAATTTGCCAACAAATTAAACATATCCGTTCTTCGGTCCAAGGCTTTCCTCCAGTCCTTCTGTATGATAAACTCCTGGGCTTGTTTCATTAGCACGGCGGCATTCGCCGCTTGCTGAGTCGAGATCAAACCGAAATACAACACTGATATATTCAGTAGCGAGGCCAAGAAGATATTCAAGTTGAGTGACCTCATATTACAAAACATAAAAAAGTCAGGTACATACGTTGATCGATGTTGGTGGCGATTTGTGCATAAGGGTGAGTCCTGAGTTGAGCAAGTTTAGTTCAGTCTTCCAGTTCAGCGAAAGAAGGCCGAGCTCATATGAATGCACTCACCACTGATTTCCAATTGTCAGTGACTTGAGAGGGATCGCTTGACCCTGAGCCTTAGAATTGTGCTCTGTGATAGCTGTTGCAATCGCCGGTACATATTTACCACCGTATGACTCACTGGAAAGGATTAGATCGACTGATTTCAGGGACGGATAGCGTTCGTAGAACTGTTGCAGAAAGCTTAGGAAATCCCTTGAAACCTGTGAAGAGTAAGTAGATTGTTAGTGGTTTGAAGACATCAAGAAATTGAAACACGCGCACTCCGCTTTCGTTGGTGACATATCCACTCTTGTAGTCGGGGTCAGAGCTTGAAGATTCTGTGGGACAAGAACCAGACGAGGAACAGCCAAGTGTGACTGCTCGTCGTACCAGAGTCTCACCCGTTTCCCCCCCATCCTTGGCCTGCGGAGGCAGGGGTGGATCCACGAAAGAGTAACCGGTTCCCTGTATAAACAATGCACCTCGGGTCTCAGTTTTGATACACACGTCTATCTGCACACAATAAGAATCGCCCACGGCTGGTTGATCTAAGAAGACGATATTAAAGTGATGGTGCCACGATGCAGGGTTGTTAGAGAGGAGAAAGTCATTGATAGTCTCATTCCGACGCAAGTCCTTCGTCTTAAACTTTGAACGAACTCGGAGCGGGCCTGACTCATAAAAGAGACCGATCATGGATGACGACAAGGGTCCGCCCTGAAGCCAGCTTGAGAATGTGTGTACACAAGGGCCCGATAGTGAAAGTCAGCCTCTGGTAGGAGTTTGAAAATATCAAGAAAGATAGAACAGACATTACCAAGGGCGCACTTGGGTCGGTTGCGCATGGAAATAACCAGTAAAACAGTTTTGCTTCGTATTCGGACGTCTTGCGCACCGTGGTAAGTCCAGCATAGGACGGACTGATAGGAGTCGCTCCAGTTGCCCATGGGAGTGAGTTTGAGTCAACCAGATGGGATTCCGAGTGAGTAGGTACCACCTCGAATGACGAGGAAGCGCTACCGTGTAGGATCCGCATACCGAGTAAGATCAAGAACGAGAGTGACAAAGTGGGGCCGCGGGTCCTGCTCAGGTATTTCATCTTTCGCCTGTGATGACAGCAGCTGATATCAGTTAAAGCTCGGATAGATGGATGAAACGAACACTCTGAAAGTTTGAACAAGTTCAAAAAAAATGCTTGAGCGTTAGAAATTCGAGCACGTGTCAGCAAGATGCATACAGCGATATCTCAAAGGAGCCAAGTCAAGCAGGGCTGATGGCGTACAAATTACCAGAATGGGTTCGGAGGTGTGTTCTCCACCGTCGATGTAGGAAGCTTGAGGTCCATGTTGAAGGGTCGAATTGTTTGGAGAATGACCTGTTGTACTTATCGTACTGTAGTCGATACAGATAGCCTTGGCATTCGTTTCTCCCTCAACTTCTCTCAATCGAGACAGACAGTCTCCGACCCTACACCACGGGGGCGTATTTGGTTGAATGTAAATACGTCAAACAGAAGTGAAAATTATGTAGTACTTATATGAACTGCACGCACCACTGTAGGCGGTGTTAACCAATCAGAATTCCGGTTGAAGACCCCTAGCTGGCACCCGCCTCCAACATCAAATACAGGATGGTTCACTGCCACCTGACAGGAGCCTGGTCAAGGGCGGGCCAACCTGGCCTACACCTGTTGATCACATGGGCCAGAAGATGTGTGTCAGACCCATTGGCATTGCCCACAGGCCTGGTCATGTTCCCCAAACCCGCATGTTGACCACAGGAAAGTCAGCTCATCCTTGGACGGATGTGCTGACTGTCCAGTGGCACAGCTATGTGCCACTGGTGAACAACATGGTGGCACAGATCAGTGGCACACACCCAAATGACTCACCACCTGGCTATCCAAGTCTTCTTACAAGCTGCAGTGGAGTATGTAGTTGGTGGTACCAGGGTTTGGGGATGTGTTGCTCATATGTTGATGGTTCTGCTTGGCAAGTCTTTCAAAACACTTGTCATGGTAAGGGAGATGAAAGTAATTCAAATCGCACCACTTCTTAAACTCTTGAATGAAATTGGTCTTACTCATGTTGAGCACAAATGCTGGCACTCCTTCCAGCCCTCTTCATCAATCATCTCAGCCTGGTCTTATTGTGATCTACCAGTATGGTCACTTGGGAATCAATACCAAAGTACTCTAATTGCAGTGGAGAAAGTTGATAGAGCCCTACAACTTGATTTATGAAATTTACAATGATCTTAAACAAAGCAAATATATTGTGAAACTGTCTTTACAAATCAAGATGATCAAACTTTTGTATTTTCCAAGATTGAACTTAGCCCACCAATCTGATACTTCTTTTTCATCACACACCTAACACCTGTTTTCTTTTCCACCTTGACTTTTGAAGCAATACCCAGCATTGAACTCCCTCCACCATCACAGATAGATTTACATACATTCTCAAAGTGCTTTGTGATTTGAGTAGATGAGCCCCATTGGGTCCACTTTTCTGGAAAACAAGAATGAGAGAGCATAGTACCATGGTGATCCTGACTACCTTGCCACATCAGTTTAATATAGCCATCAAATCCCTCAAAGTTGACATAGGTCTTGAGAAGAGTCCAAACAAATTTGACACCTGTGACATCAAATCCCTCTTCCATTGGGCCAATCCTTGAGTGTGCAGATCCATGGCCATCATAATTCCAAATGTCCAGCCCTTTCCATTGTTATCAATGTGTGGTACATTGTAAAAGTTGTTAGATTTAAAAGTAAGATTGCTAGCAAAGACATTGTCACCTAAATAGAAGAGTTAGTAAGGCTCGGTTAAATACATACATGCTAGATACTACTCAACTCACCATTCCTCTTCTCAAATCCAATATCTCCAAAACCAGGTCCATCCATCTCACCAAGTGCCTCCTGACAGGCCCTAAATATTGGTTCAAAAAGCTGTCAGAAAGCTTGAGCATAGTAAGCCTAGATAGTTGGTAGGTAACCTGTCAGCTGTGCATAAGCCTGAAGCTTCTGCTTTCAAAGTTCCTTGTCTTTGATGTGCTTGAAATTGCAAGCATAACGCCTCCTTTGTGAACAGTAGATGATGTAAAACTAGTCAGAATCATGAATAAAAACCAATTTGGGAGCTCAAATACCAAAAACAGACCTAGCTTGTCAGCCTCTGGTAATTCTGCAAGATACTTTTCAGTATCTTGGT